AAAAATACCTAAAATCGAATGTGGAGTACTCCTAGAGGGTGGCCGGAAGTTTTCACTTCGCCGGAGAGGGGCGGCGCCGGCGGGAGGAGCGGCGGGAAGCTTGGCCGACCGTGCGGGACGCGTGCGGTTTCGCAAACAGAGAGCTGGGAGGGGTTTTTTTCGGAGATGAGGGAAGCCGTGCGGGATGAAGGGGGAGAAAAGCCTTCATTTTAAGTGGGTGGGGCCGGTTCTATGAGGCGTACGCCTCACCCAGAATTGCGCAATTGCGCCTCTGAGGCGCGCCTCAGTCCAGGTGAGGCGTACGCCTCAGCCAGGTCCAGAATTGCGTAAGCCTCGAGGCGTTTTTTGGTGAAATTGCGCAAAGGCGCGCCTCTAATTGCGCAATTTTAAACCATGCTACGTACCAAAGTGTCTGATACAGTAAAGGAGAAAATCAAATCATACATGAATAGGTTCACAATATCGAAGCATCTGGCATAGTAATAATTCGATGATAGAGTTGATGTTGGCTTGTATTAAGGAAGCGAGCATAGTAGTCGGGACTTATCATCCTCATTGCAACCCATGTCATGTAGGGGTGTAAGGGGTCCCATGGATCACTACATAATGAACTTGGTGGAGGATAGATAGGGAGATAGGCTTTTTGCATCACATAAGCTATCCTTGAAGACTGCTAGGGAGGTATAAACATGAGTATATATGGATATTGCAAGATTTTTTTAGGAGAATGATATCTCTTTTAATGTTGCAACCTCCTCCGCTTATTACAATATGATCTATTTGATTGAAGTCAATGGGCGAAGGTTGAAACCTCCATCAATAAATGATTTGAAGACATAGGTTTTGAAGGAGAAGTGGACAAATACTAAGAAAATATTGAGAAAATCAAGACTTGGAGCCAGATAGGTGTAACTATCATGTCTGATGAATAGTTAAATATAAAGAATATAAACTTGATAAATATATTGATCAATAACTCCTATAGCTTAGTGTTTTTGAAGTCTGTTGAGGCATCTAATTGAGCAAAATATGACAAGTTTCTTTTTGAAGTACTTGATGGTGTTGTTGATGAGATTAAGGAGCACTTGGTGGTTCAAGTTGCTACAGATAATGCCAGTGCTTAATGGGCAGAAGTGCAAAATTTGTGGAAATGAGGAAGCACTTATATTAGACAACATGTGGTGCATATTGCATAGATCTGATATTTGAAAAACATGGGGAGCTGCCACAACATAAGAATGCACTGACTAAAGTACAAAAGAAAATTATATATAACTTATCACGACTTGGCCCGGAGGCTCTAATTAACGAGGCGGGAACAGACGATCAGATAGTAAATTAAATTTTTGTTTCCTAAATCTATTTTCAATATACTAAAAGAGCCACTAAAATTTCAAAATAAACTGATACAAAATCTTTCAAATGCCTTTCTTCTGGTATACCACGTCTACGGTACACATTTTTATCTCTTCTATTCATTTTAATTATAATAAATTATACCTGAAAATATTAAAGCTATTAAAAGTAAGTCACATCTCAATAAGTAAAACAAGCTTCTAAATTACAATAACTCAAGGCAATTGAAACAATATGCATAATCCCTTTTTCATTTCATATCATAAAATAATTTCATTTAATCATATCATTTCATCAAGACTTTCAATGCTTTGCATAAATCATATATATTCATAGCTTTATCATTTCTCATTTCTCATAAATAATACAATCGTCACATGAGCCACCATCTAATTTAGTACTAATAAAGGTACTTTTCAAATTTCATTTCTTTTTTTTCCATAACCTTTTCCATTAACATGCACGGGTACATTGCGTCCCCAGCCAGTACCATAAGGGGGTGTGCTCCATCAGTCAACATGCACATACACGCATACTACATAAATCATATCATTTAGCTTTTCCATATCATTTCATATTGAATATAGTATATATGACATCGCTACGATATAGAATTTAAGTCTTCCCTATACAACATGATCAATTAAATTTAGTAAAGAAAATCATATAGCATAAATTCATAGAACATTAATAAATAAGTAATTAAATAATAACTGTATTTGATGCATCATATGTAAGAGAAACAAATATCATTACTATAATTAAAAGATATAAGTACTCACCTTTAACCTAAGTATCTTATTTCTTTACTCTTACTCCTTGCTTCGAAATCAATAGATTATCACCTATATAAAAGACTTTCTTATTAATAATTTTATAAACCCTAGTGAATTCTCTATTTCTAAACAAATTTCTTATTTTAAGATATTTTAAATTGAATATTACGAAAATATAAATTTCTTCCTTCCAAAATACTTATCTATTCTTGATAATTAGATTCATACTAAATAAAAATTTCTATAAATATTAAGTTTATTTTCTTTTAAATATGTACACATTTATTTTCTTCTTGCTAATAACCTAAACAACAATTATCTCTATAATCTCTATAAATTGAACTTAAAATTTTCTTAAGAAAATTAATTTTTCTTTCATAAAATATTTTATAAATTAACTCTCTTAATGATTAAATTAAAAAAAAATTACCTTCTTCCCTTACATGAGACTCTCACTTGCCCTACTCATTGAGTTTGCTTCCTTCTCTCATTCTCTCGATCACTCTTTAATATAACTTATCTTTTCTTAGGATTAATCACAGTAGAAAAAAAAAGCCAAAAGAATTGAATTTGAAAAACTTACTTTCTTCTCTTCATATCAGCTGTTTCTCTCTTTGCATAGAGCTTCTCACACGAATTTTCCCCACAGAACTGAGTGAAACTAAGATATTCTGTATAATGAGTTGTTCTTCTTCACTCTCGTATGCATTCATTCGTTTAGAAATGCAAACCGACCCCGTCTGGGGTTATATGCACGCAAGTGGCAAGCACTCGGTCTGTCTGGATCGCTAGCCACAACTGTTCTGTGCTTTGCTGCGGAACCAGGCTTTGTTGTGGAAATAAAGGCTGGTTCAATTGAACCGGCTGGCTTGAGACAAGCCAAACATTACATAACCATCATTTGATTTTGATACTTATGAGAAAGTTTTAAAAGAAAGAAATATTAGGTCTGTTGTAACAAAATTTGTCACTATATATTTGATTTTGTAGAAAATGTTGGAGGTGAGACAGCCTTTGGAAGTAATGTTCACTTCAACACAGTAGTTGAGGTGTGCTTGGAAAAGAAGTTTTGAGAAGAAATAATTTAGAAATATTATTTTGAATGACAATTTCTAATAGAGTGTGTTCTATGCTATTAAAACAACTATGTAAGTAATGCAAGTTTTGAGAATGGTAGATGCTGAGAAGAAGCCAACAATCGGTTTAATATATAATGCAATGGATAAAGTGAAGAAATTGATTGTCTACAACTTAGGAAGAGAAGAGGGTATATATAAGGAAATCTGGGATATCACTAATGAAAAGTGGGTGCTACATTTTCATTGTCACTTATATGTAGCAAGCTACTATTTGAATCCTTAGTTCCAATATGCAGAAAATAAGTAAATAAATCATAAGATAATTAGGATTATACAGTTACATGGATATGCATATAGTTCATTCATTTGAGAGAGTAAATGCATACATGCAATTGGTATCTTTCAGAAATAGGGAGGGCGTTTTTGGATTGAAGCAGGAGAAAGAAAGTTTAAAAGAGATATCAAGGTTATTTGATTTGTTTCTTTTTGCAGTAAAAAAATTATCTCTCAAAATGATTCATTCTACTTATTATACGCATTTATTTATACCTCAGTTAAGTTGTGGATAAAATTTGATAACAACACTCTAGAACTACAACATTTCACTATTAAGATTTTAAGATTAATATGCTCTTTATCTGGATGTGAATAGACCGCATATAATCAAGTGTACATGAATAGGAAAAATTATCTGACAACTCTTATGATGAATTCTTTAATGTACATCATGCATAACAAGAGAAAAAATAACAGATACTTAAAGAAGTGATCAAGGATGATGAGGATCCTTTGCTTTATGAGAATATGACATCACATGATGAATGATTTGTGGATGATGAACTAAAGGTAACACCATCTGAATTACAAGAAGAAGATTTGAACATTAATTTTTTACGATGATAGATGCAAAGCATCTGCATGCACCACAAGCTATTTATAAAAAAAGAATTAAAAAGAAAATGAACATAAAAAAGAATTTAATTTTTAAAGCTTCTTTAATTTGGAGTACTACTCCATCTTTATGTTGATGGCAAATGTTTAAGGAAGAAGAAGCGGATTGAGAGACATTGGAGAAAGCAATTCATTACGATGACGACAAACGAAGAACCCCTCGACAATGATAGTGTAGATGACTTGCTCATGAATATCGTGGACCTACTTAATAGTTGGAGGGCCATAGTTTTGAAGTAATTAATTTTCAGTTAGAAAAGAACTAGTGGAGCAAAATTTGACCACACGAGGATTTTGATCTGGAGCTCAATTATATGCATGAAAAATGAGTTAGAGCGCTAATATCTAATAAGCAAAGTATCCCAGTTTTTGACAGATAATAATTCTCCTAAATAAAAATATACACTTAATTTCACCGTAATCCATACGAATCTAATTCTCATTAAAAACAGAAAGCAGGATCAATACTATTAAGTTCCATTTTCATCCAAACAAAATTTGGCTTCAACTCACCAAATCAGCTGGATTAAACCATCCATCGAATCCACTTAAAGACCATCAAGCTCGGGCTAATTAAACAGGCTTGAAGTAACTTCAAGGAGGGGATAAATGGTACAATTGATTGCATATAGATGCAGAAAATGCAATGTTGAAGAGAAAGAGAAAACATGAAAAGGAAGAGGAAAACAATGGGAAAAATAAAAACACTCACGATTTGATTAAAGAGGACGACCCCAACACCAGTGAGGAGGCCGACAACGCAAGAAGCAAGCGTTACCAAATCCTTGGTTGGCAACGCTTCCTCTATGGAGGAGACAATCCCACGGGATCCTTTCTGCAGCTCGCCCGCATCTTCTCTTCCACCTGCTATATCTTTTGGATCCCCTTCCTCCGGCTCAAGAGCATCACCTTTTCCTTCTTGCTCCTCATCTTCTGCCGCGGTAATCGGTCCTCCTCTTCGTCCGACCCCCATTGTTACGACTCTGCCATTTCCGCTTAAGGGGTTTATGAACGATAAAGAGAATGAGGACGAAGAGAACGAGCGCAAAATTAATCTTCTACTGCGGCGGCGAGCGGAACAGTGAACGACTAGGGTTTGGGAGGAGCTACAGCAGCTAGAGCGATTCTCTCTTATTGTGAAAGCTGGACTTTGAGCCAAAGAGCACCAAATGCTGCTATCAATACGGCGGCAGCACGGAGTCTCTGCTGAAGCCATTGTGCTAAAGCTTGGTATCATTTTCTATCTTTCAAGAAGCGAGTTCTGCTGCAGAGGACAGCAGGAAGCTGAGGGTTGCGTCTCCATGGCTTCAGAATTGTAGTGTTTACTCCTGTGGCTGTAGGCGGACGCAGCTTTGCGTCGCATTTTCAGCATTAAATAATTGTTGCACTTCTATTGAGGAGAACTGAACCATTGAAGGATTACTGAATCCCTCTTGTTCTCATATCATTTTCTTCTCCACTTTCTTGATCGATTCTAATTTTAATACAATTTCATGTAAATTAAGCATGCAATTGAGTATTGATAAAACATGAAAAATCTTTTTGATTGGATCTGAATCTCAATGCATATTTAAATCTAAAACTTCTAAAATTAAAATCGGTATCATTTGAACTATGATTTCAACAACTTATAGTTGAACTGCATATTTCAACGAGGCAAATCCAATGAAACCAAAACTATACAATCTGAGCCTAAATGTGCCCAAATCAAGGGCCTGATGTGTAATTGAAAATTTCAATAATTAAATAGATAATCAAATGGTCTAACAATTTGGCATGCTTATAATCGAATCGAGCGTCTTAATGAGATGAATACAACGATCCTAAGATAACTCAATAATAACAATATTGTGACACTTAAATGTTGAAGAAATATTTTATTATTAAAGAAATTAATATATGTCATTTAATGGATTGTCCTGAATTTGCTTTATATTTGCAGGCATGCCACTTTAAAAAAATCTATAAATAGACTCCAACTCTTTACATTGAAATGAGCTTAGAGTTGAAGTTTGAAATTTGGCTTCAGATTTAAAAAGAGCTATGAGATTCTAAGAATCTCGGAGCACCACTCGAGCACCATCGTAGGGACACCACACATAACGTCATCATCGATCATTCATCGACCTACTACCATGTTTCTTCGACCCTTGTCACTCCTCGACTGCAGTTCTTTAACCATTATCGCTTACCTACAGTTTTCCAACTATTATCGCCCGACTACAATTATTTGACCTTCGTCTCCCGCTGACTATAGTTTTTGGACGACCATCATTCGACTACAATTCTCCGGTCATCATAACTTGACTATGATCTACATATCATTATCACATGACTACGGTCCCTTGACCACGATTACCTTATTATGGTCCTTCAGCCTCTCTCACCCAATTATGGTCCACCAACTTGCAAAGTTTTGATCATTATCACATAGCTACTATGACGCCTACTAATTTCATCACCTAGGATTGCCAATAATGCCAACACATGCCATTACTTATAAGATTAACCAAGGTTTAAAATTGCACAATTGGGTATTGAGGTATTTTTTATTAGTGAGGCGAGGTATAAGCCTCAAGACGTTTTGAGGCGTAAGCCTCATAATCAAAAAATTGCGTTAAGTCAAAATAAATGTTAAAAATGATTTTTAAAATAATACACAAAACAATATGTTAAAGGATGACATGTTAATTTTCTCTATTGAATTATGAAATAACAAATTGACATACATATGAAATAAAGAATTGCACAAGACGTAAAGTGGTAAATGATAAATTATATGAAATATAATATAAATTCAAATATTATAATAGCAAAATAATATTAAATATATGAATGACAAAAAAGTATCATATATTATCAAGTTCAACTCCATATTCCTTCTTTTTAGTTCTAGTTCCTTACTAATCCACACTAAATTCCTCAAGAAAATTGAAATAGTTGACAAAAACTTAGATTTTATATGCACTATTATCACTAAGGAGATTTTTATTTGAGTCGTCATCATAACAACAAATTGGTCTCTCCCCTCTCTCATCCTATGGAGTCAAATGTCTATCAATTTGCTTCTTCTTTGTTTATTTCAATCATCTTCCTCTTTCATAAATCTTTTTCATTAATATAAAGATTAAATTAACACTTGAAATTTTAGAGGAAGTAGTGGTGATGTACGAGTTTTAAGTGATCTCTGGCGGCTACAACGATGTTGCCTATAGAAAAAACGAAGGGCTAGAGGTCAAGACAGTCGATAGGAAGTTGTTGCAGCTTGGGGGTCATTAAAGCGTGATTTTTTTAGGCTTTAATTTAGAATAAGCCTCATGTCAATGAAACGTAACGTTCCTCAAGGTGGGCTTCAGTCATACTGAGGCGCAAGCCTCATAAAAAAAGTTTGAGACGTAAGCTTTGATGCATTTTTCACTAGAATTGCGCTGAGGCAAGCCTCATATTGTGCAATTTTAAACAATGATACTAACATACATTTTCAACATCCACTCTTAACTCCTAACTACATCACTAGGATTTATATTAGATTTCCTCTTCACAGCATATCAATGCCTTCCTCTAAGAAAGGACATAAATGATAAATAATAATGGAATCATTTTAATTGGGTCAAGCCCTATGATTTTTCTCTTTCTTAATTTTTTATGTAAAAACTTTATTGTTCCTTATAATTATTGCACTCGTCTCTTATCTATATGTATGTTAGATCTTCATACAAATTTAAGATGTTAAACTCTCTCTCTCATTTACTGTAAAACTAAGATGTTAAACTATCTCTATCTCTCTCTTCCACCATAAATGTTCTTACAAGCAACAAGCATTACACAATTGCTATCGCCTCAAGGCATATATATAAGGTAAACATGGAGAGCTTCAAAATAAAAAACTAATATTCCCTCAAAATATCTTTTAATTTGGGCTGAGGTTAACAATCCTATTTGCTCAGGTTGATGTTAGACAGCCAGTTCAACTTTTAAGACGCTTGATTACAAATTTAATTAGTCAGAAAGGACCTGCTCACTAGCCCTACAAAACCCTTAATTATCATTCCAATAATATATTTTATAGTGAAGCTTTAATAGATAGGCTATAAAAGAGTGGCTGGCCCTTTCAATAAGCCTAAATTTATCACCAATATGGCAAAATTATATGCTATCCAGTTACTCTAACAGTCCATGTAACGCATCTAATGTAATCTTAACATCTCCTATCAAAGTAAAAAACAAGAGCCAGGGAGCTGCAAGTGCCAGATTGATACAAACATCATATAAGCAAATTTTAAATTTAAGACCTCTTGATTAATAATCAAAGCCCCTAACTAATAAAAAATTGCGTGCAGCGTCCGGATTCATCCTGAAGCGAATACGGACGCGCCACATCACCCGGGGCCCAGTGCATCCGGGTGACATGGCGCATCCGGATTTGCCTCCGGATGCCCGGGCATCACACATAATAATCTCTCCTAACTAACAAATCAAAAACTTCAAAGCTAAGTGCGCTAACACTACAGTAATATTAGGATGGGTGATATCCAAATATAATCACTTGACTTTACAAAATTGAACCCAATTTTATCCCAAATGAATCATTTTGAATGATCAATTTTGTATAATCAAGAAATTAAATTGAAGCAAGGTTATATTGTGAGATTAAAATAATCTTATACTAATAATTGGGACACTATTTTAAAATTTAACCCTCATATAAAATACAAAATAAAGCCGTCTTGTGATGAAAAGCTAACAGCAAAAAATACACTACAGCAAATCCGTGAAAAAAACAAATGGAGAGACCAATTCCAGTCAGTTTTGTCGCATAACTCGGATTTCAGTTGAAGATTCACTCATTTGCAGCCACGATATATCCATAAATAAATCTCTATTCACGATGAGAACCAGTTCACTATCTCACACTGAAGCCGTGCACGCTGTGTAGCGATCACCATCAAAGATTAAAAAAAAAAAGACAAGAAAAAACCCTTCATTTCCCTTTCTTCTTCGATATTCACAACAGCCAAGCTAAATAGAGATATAAGACAACTTACAATGGGTGATAGGCTGAGAGGCCATGAAAATTATCCTTCAGCTGAGTCCGTGCTTGACAGGCTGAATCAAATCGACCTTCGTGTAAGTTCTTCCACCTCTTAGGGGCAGTTTGGTAGAATCTAGGATTTCATTTAAGTAGGATTTCGTAAATCTTCCAAATCCTGATTTACGAAATCCTGAGAGATTTAAATCCTGAAAACGGTTTGGTAACCTTCAGATAAATCCTATGTGAAAGATTTGGGCGGAGTTTCTTCCTTTCCGCACCAATAGAGCCAGAGGATTTCGGAAATCCACCAAACGAGGATTTCCGAAATCCGGGATTTACGACGAAAAGGCGGAATTTTCTGTCTACAGAGGATTTGATTTTCCATGAGATTTGGTTTTGCATTTTAGGCCGTTTGGCTGGATTTCGCCTCAAATCCGCCTCAAATCCGCCGAAATCCGCATATCAAACAGCCCCTTACATTGATGCATACAAGTAGTTGATCTCTTTTATCTTTTATGAAACAATATATGCAGCTAAGGCAGCTGGAGAAGAAGGAAAGACTGCCGGATAGCTGCTTCGCAGGAGAGAAAGGGAGGAGATATCAGTTGCGATCAGACATGGTGGATGTTCACCTCAAAGAGGCCCTCATGGATCGCCTCAACGTGCTGGAGACCCGTATCCGCCAGGTTCCTGAAATTGATTTAATGGAAAATAAATATGGCGCCAAGAGAGCCTGATAAAGGATTGCATGACTTGCATTAAATAAGTGAATGCTTTATCAAACAATAAGATAGTTAAATTGTCGTAAGAAAAACAATAAGCTTAAATATTGTCTTATAGTTCTTATATAAATGTCTTGCAATTTTAATACAGCATTTTACATATATATACATTAATTTTTTTGTTGATTTACATTCATATCATAAATTTCTTTAAATAATTACATAATAAATATCTAAATTTTTATATTTACTTACATAACACTTAAATCTTTAAATTATAACAAAAATATTGTTAATATTAATCTATTAAAGTAAAGCATAATTTTCTTATAATTGCTTTGATATAATTTAGACACTAAAATAAATATATAAATAAATACTAAATATGTAAATATTTTAAAAAAAAATGTTATTTTCTGTATATAAATCCTCTTAAATTTTTTAATATTTAAATATTTAAATTTATTTATCCAATATCCTAATATTTAAATAATTTCAAAACTTATGAATAAAAAGATGAATAACATTTTGAATATAGTGAATTTTTATATCATTTAAAAATTAGTTAGTTATATAAATAAATATAAATTTAAGTATCAGATATATAATAATAAAATTTAAAAATTCAATAGTATATACTAATTCCCCATATTTCGATTTTGTTTTAACATTGAAGCTCATAATGCACTTTTTTTCTTTCAAATACAATCGGAAAAAAAACTAGATAGGAAGCCACTGGCCCTTGCAAAAAACCTGTGAGCTCTATACCCTTTAATAAAAATCATGAAATTTTATACCCACTTACCTGGTTCTCAGCTGAGCGAAGAACTGGACAATGGTGGTAGTTCCAGCGGCAGCGGCCATAGCATGATGGCCATTACATTTCCAGCCGAGAATCAGAAGCAGATACAATGCAGCAGCAGCCGAAGAGAGCTGGGCTGGCCGTGCCCAGCTGGATCAGGCAATTATCAGAGCCAAATGTCCAAAAAGAAGGTGCGTTCCATGCTCATACACTTTTTGTACTGATGATGTTTGAACTCTTAATTATCGGATAACTGTGAAGGTCTTTGAGCCCATGGAAGCTGATACCACTAAGGCCATGGATAAAAGGGCAGCTGCCTTCCGCCGCAATGAGAAAAGGAGGATGGATCGCGCCCGCCTCTTCAAAAGATGGTTTCAGGTTGGCTGCTGATCAGCTTTGGCCACTGCTTAGAGATTGCTGCTTCTGTTTTCTTTTTTCCAGCTTTGAAATCATTTAGGTTTGATTTGGGGCAACTTTCATATTGCTTTTTAAAATGACTTTTTTAGTACAAAAAATTTAAATTCAAAAATTTTTGTACTGAAAAATTGTTTTAGAAAGCATGAGGAAAGCCGTCCCAAACGGCTTCGTTTGGGATGGCTTTCTTACTGCTTCATAAAACAACTTTCTAGTAAAAAAAAAAAAAAAAAATTATACAATAAAGAAGCTTTAAGAAGCAAAAAGAAAATCGTCCCAAACAAAACTTTAGTCTTTCTGTTTTATTCATTTTACCTCTTTTGTCTTAGCCGACTGTTACTGCTTGCTCTTCTTATTTAGATCCATGTAGACAGTAAGCAGGGATTTATAACATGCTCCTTCAGTAGCTTCAAATCTTCTCCCCATATGGATTTGTATCTACAAACATCTGGCTCTGTTTCTGCTTGCCATAATATCATGTCCACGATATGCTCCCTTTAATGTTCATCTGAAGCCTTCTGCCAGTTTACAAATTCAAATCATCAGTAAATTAGTAGGCGCAGCAAGAATAATAGAGTAATGTGAAAGAAGCGCAACCAAATCAAAGAGTGTTATGGGATAATAAAATGACTGTAATCCGATGTATTATCAATAAGTCAGGATGAAACTAAAGAGCAAAATTCTGCATAACATCTTAAGGGGGGGTTTTGTATCGGATTTGTCCGTCGTTTTTAGTAGGATTTAGCATAAATCCAACCAAACACAATCCGCGCCGCTGTAAATCCGGCAAATCCATAAATACAGGATTTACAGATTTACGGCATAAATCCGGTAAATCCGTCTAAATCCTAATTCCATTCCTATTCGGATTTAATGCGACTTACAATTGCGGAACTTCTTCCCGCAACGCCCGTCCTGTAATCTGTTGCCAAACAACTTCTCTAGATTTAACAAGATTTACAATTTTCATATCAAACACTTTTCAGGATTTATAATCCGGATTTAATAAATCCTACTAAAATTGAATCCAATCCTATACCAAACACCCCCTAAGTATGAAACCAACAATGTTTATTAAGAGAGTCTTATACATCTACATATAAAATTACAAAAGAATGTTGATAAAAAGAGAAACAAAACAAGGATGCATAAAGCCAAAAAAATGAGAATCTAGAGCATCATATAGCAAATAAGATGATTGGATGGCTTCCTAATATACTCATTGCTAAAAAGCAACATTTTTTCTTGACCGATACATCCATCACTCATCAGATACAGGTTGTTGTTTCGAAAAAGCGGCCATTTCTGCTAAACTATGTCCCGAAATTTTCGTGATGAGAGCTACAGGGGAGAAGTATTTTTGCGTGTTCCCATGGTCCTCTGGATTAAGGCTATAGGTTCCTTGAAGCTCCCCAGCTCTTTCTTCTGCAGCTTCAGCTTCTTTCAATAAAAATTCACTCTCTTCTAAGTCACCTAGTTCAAGAGCTGCTGATCTTTCCGACCTTGCAGCTGCAGCAATCAACTGAAGTCTCTTAAAAGTTGCAACTGCTGCCTCCTTTTCCTTCAGTAAGACGAGCTCTTCATTTTCCTGCATCATACTAATATTGCTTTTAATATCCCCATCCAACTTCTCAAGGTTTAGAACAGCCTGGTCCATTTTATTCTGCATGCTTTCCTTCTCCGAGTTCAGTGTCTTCGCTTCAGCAGCTATTCGCCCAGCTTCCTTGAAATTTCTTGAAGCAGCGGCAACTTTCTTCTCAGCTTCAAGCTCGGGACCTCTTTTGTCGACAAAAGCTATTCGCTGCTTAAATAAATCAATGTCTTGCTGGATACTTACTCTGGTGGAAGAAAGTTCCTGCAAAAAAAATGAAACAGAAACAATGAAACGGGAAAGTGTCGAGGCATGTGAACTCTTTTAAGCTAGGTAGAAATGCCACAGAAAGATTTTACTAGCGACCAACCTGTAGTTTAGTTCTTGCAGTGGATATTTGTTGCCGGAGGACCTGTATTTCCTCTAGAATTTTCTCTTCTGTCTTCACCAACTGCACTTTGTCTTCTCTGGACTTTATGATGGATGATGCCAATTCTTTTCTCAATCCAACCAAATCCTGATAGGTTTTTGCCTCATCCAAAGCAACATTGGCAAGCTCCTTTAGATTAAAACACTTCTGCTCTTCCAGAGAAACAAATTCATCAATTTTATTCTTTTTTGATGATAATACCTCTCGCTCTGAGTCCATCCTAGACAAAGAAGACTTAAGTTTATCACGCTTCATTTCAACACTTGAAATTTTCTCTTGAAACTCTGATGCAACTTTAGAAATTTTTCTCTCTGCTTCATGTATCAGAGATTCATTTTCAGCAATCTCTGCTTCCTTCAGTCTAACTAAAGTTAGAAGCTCATCCAACTCCTTTGCTAAAGTAACCCGTTTCTTCCTAAGCCCTTCAACCACCTCTCTATCATCTTTAACCAAGTCTTCAATGGAACTATCCAATGCCGAGTGAGCATCTGATATGAGTTTAGCTTCAATGTCCACCTCAAGCTTGCTAGTCTCTAACAGTTCCATTGATGTTTGCCAATCTTCTAAATCTTTGGACGACAGTTCCTTTGTATTTCTATGAATTAAATCTGCCCGATCAGCAGCATCCTGCAAAAGGCAGGATAAAAATTGCAATTCTAGTTTGCTAGATGCTCCATGGCATACACCAGAAAACTAACGTAAATATGCATATTAAAAAAATATTATTACACTTCTCTTAAAGAAAAACCAGAATTTCCTTTTTAATGGATTTGGAAAACATTCGTTCTACTATAAAAAAGAGAACTTAACATGCAAGTGCTATGATAGTAAGTGGATGTAAAAATTGAAAAAACTAGGAAGAAGAACACAAATGAACTTTTTATTGAAAGATATATGAAGGAAAAAGCAAGATACAATTGGATCTTAATTGGAGAGGAAAATACTGCTCTCACAAATCCCTAGCCATCGGCTAGAGCTCTCTTAATAAAATCTATAACAAACAAAAATCACCTCCTCAAAATAACAACATAGTTAGCATTAAATAGCGCATCCCCCCAACCAAAAACATTCCCTCCCAAATTAGCCCCATTTCTCTAAATAATTTCTGCTTAGATTTTGAATTTAAATTAGATATCTTGCCCAAAATAATTCACTTTCAATTGCAATTAAAACTTTCTCAAACGATTCTCCCCTTGATTCCTCTCTTTCCCAATATAATACCTTCATAGATTTTCAAATCAAATTAAATCTCTTGCCCTAAATAATTCTCTCTCAATTGTAATTAAAACTTTTATAAACAATTCCCCTTTAATTAACAACATTCCTAAACAACTCCCTCTTGATTAGGAAACTTCTTGATTCCCTCCTAATCAAATCGGCCGGTTCATCAATACTCCCCTCCCAAAGTATCACCTTGTCCTCAAGGTGAAAAGGAAGAAATTATTGCTACATTCTCTCATCGACTTACTCTTCAATTTCCTTGTCATCACAAACGATGAGAATCTTAAGAGTTCGATTCTTACACCTATGCCTTGGTGTATACATCTACTCACATTAAAACACAGCCCCTTTCGTCCTCTTTTTATTGTAACTCCATTTCTGTGAGCTTCTTGAAGTTTCCCTCATGTCTCCCTCCTACAATTGTCTCTTCGGGGTCTCCCTAGTAATAATCGGTGTCTTCTCCTTGGATGCCAAAAAGGTAATGGTCATCCTATACGAACCTCCTGAGCTGCTGCCTCCAGCCTCTCTCTCTAAGTGCCTCTGATCCTCAACTATGACATCATAGAGAACAAATGAAAAAATTTATAAGCCCTCCACATGTAGAAATAACTCTCAAAGTTACATCATTACAGGAGCATTGGGATTCTTATATTTAATATTTTTTATCAAAATAGAAGAGAAACATAAAACCTTGATCATATTTTTAACACTTTGTATAAAAAAAATGCACTTTTTCCAAAATAGAAAAGTTTTCCTTATAGTCAAATAAGTTGAGGAAATGAGTGCTAGGAGAAAGCCCTACAAAATGTTTATCAGTGAGGACATGTAAGAGTACCAAAATGCAAGAAAGCATGAGGTGGATCAAAATAAAGCCAACGGGTCGGTATCACTATTGTAAGAAGACATAAAAATTTTGAATACAAATATTCAATAAAACCCTATGAAAAAAATAAATTGAAAGGCAAGTTTTTAATTATGAAGCAATATCTATAATAGAGGAGTACATATATGAGCATAACATTACTTTAATTGCTGCAAACTATTTCACTTCTTCAACTATAAATTAGATTCTTAATTATGATTGATCACATAAAATGACCTGATTTGGGATTAATTATATTATAAGTCTATCACAATGTAAATGGCCTCTTGGCAAATGATAACTTGTAAAATTATTGGGATAGATAAATTTCACATCAGGACAAATAATGTAGTTCTAAGAACTTTGGGAAAGGTTTAATACATGTTTTAGCATTAAAGAAGAATCTTATTGATGTGAAACATAAATGCCATATACTTACCTAGGTGGCAAGATTAATTAAAGCCCAAATCAATTTGGGGAGAGAGAATAGAAATCTGAAATTAAGGAGTAATTAAAGATAATTCAAATTCAATTTTTGAATTTGAATTGTCATTAATTGGGGTTGGATGTCCGCATCACTTATATCTCCAGGTTGTTTGAACTCTAATGGTACATATATCATGTTGAATGTGGAATATCCTCAGATTTTGATGAAAGCAAAGAATCTTGATTATCTATACTTCCTTCGGGGTAGCGCAATAAAAGCTGTAACATCAATTTCTTCCTCAAAAGAATTGACCAATATACAATATATAAGGCTCGGGCAGATATTAGAGTTGGGCAAAAGAGGTTTACTTTTTGGTCATATGATCATTTCTTTAGATTTCTATGAATTATATCTAGAAGAACACCGCGCACTAATTTTTTTCTGCAGGAGTTCATAGGAGATGGTGAGTTTGGAGTAGTGGTTAAGTTGACTTTAGTGTACTACAGAGGTTCCAAGCTTGAGTCATAAAAATAATCTCTTACAAATACAGAGGTAACGCTACATAATAACCCCTCTCTAGTCCCTCATTATTGAGAGTTCCATGGATTGGGTAAATTCTTTATTTTATAGGAGTTGAAAGGATTAAGAGTACTATGAACTACATTAATTAGATTTGACAAGGCCAACATATTAGGTATATAAGATAGATCTAAATATATGACGACTTTATACATCATTATACCTTGAGGTTTAGCATTATATTCTTACAAAAAAAACGTGATATTTGGGATATTCATAAAATGAAATTTTGGGAGTATGATAAAGAGATTTAGAACTAACATTGCTTTGGAATTCTTCTATTTAAGTTCATAGTTTTTTTTTTTTTTAAGGGTAATGTCATGCATGATGGTGTCTTCGTTACTCCTCTATAAAGTCAATTGGCAAAAAGAATGTACAAAACATTTCTAATTAGGGCAAGAAAATGTTATCCAATGTTTCTATGAACAAAAATTTTATGAAAGACAGGGGGGTTATCAATACTATAGGATATTTAGTGAACAAATCTCCATCAACATATATTACATTAAAGACTTTACAAATGTGGTCAGATCATCTTGCAAATTATTTTGTTCTTGGGGCTTTTTTATTATTCTACTAATGCTCATGTTTAAGAGGTACATTAGCTCCAAGAGTTAAGAGTGTATATTCCTTGGGTGTGTATTTAGAATGAAGGGATACAAACTTTGGTGTAAAAGCCTAAATCAATTAGTTTTATGATTAGTAGAGACATCATCAAGTTCAATGAACCAAATACGCTTCAATGCAAGCTATGCTTTGAGATTAAGCAAAATGGTTTAATTGATTTTTTAGATGAGATCAAAAGGTAACTATGCATTCAAGCTTTGAAATTAAGCAAAATAGATTAATTATTGATGTAGCCAAAAAAACTAATGCAGAATTCAAAGTAGATGGACAGGGAGATTTTATTACAATGAAAGAAAAACTAAAAGATAAGTGGGGATTCACTCACCTACCATGAAATATGGATACTTTAAAAATCCTTCTATGTTCGTGTTGGACATGAGTGTCGGATAGAAACACACCTCGACACATGTCTAACACGGTGAAAAGTATGTTTCCAAATTAGAGACAAATGCGATCATTACACCTAGACATGGCTAGGACATATGATTATAATGAAGTGTTATTTTTTATAAGCTTCACAAACTATATTTGTATCAATGATTGTTAAGGTTCTCCTAAAGAGTATATTGTCGCAAGTAGTGCTGATGATTTTGATGCCAAGTGTATTAGGTAAATTAATGGTACATCAATGTATTCATATTTTTTATATATTTTGAAAATCATATAATCTTTTTCCTTTTTTTTTTTTTTTTGAATTTAGTGTGGACAATATAATGTTGATATTGACAAAATCATGCCTAATAATTAAGATGTGGTGTTGGAAACTTAGTACATTTGATGAAAATAAGGCACTTCTGATAAAATATTGAGATTTAATTGCAATTAAGCCAATATTTTTCATGGTCATTAAGCTTTTGATGCCATATATACAATGTTATGTTTTATTTTATAATACTTTTTAATAGAAAATGTACATATTAGATGCTTTGATTACACATTTTATATTAATAATTTATTAAAAAAATATTGTATCCACAACATGTCATGGCTTGCCTTTTATAGTTATGCTCTGTCCTCAAGCACATATCATGTTATGTCTATGTCTCGTGTTGATGTTCATGCTTAATAGTTCACCTATAGCTTTGGGGCTCACTCATGTATAAAATTCAAGTAGTCACGCATACACGAGGACTCATTCACCCAATGTATTTAAGAAATACTCATCCAAACAACAGGAATCTCTTACTTTCAAACTCTCAAAAACTTACTTTCAAAAACACTCCAAGTCTAAGCCTTCTTTAACGTAGCATATGAACACTTAGATCAAGGTTGCTAGTTGGAAAGTATAATTAAATGTGGTCTTAGTAAGTGGATAATAAGAGTTGGGAATCACACCAAGTATTCAATAAATATCTCATCATTCTCCTCATAACGGAAGAATTAGCTCAAGTTTTACATTTAGTAAAGCGCCTTCTTCATCATGGTTAAGACCTATGAGATCATCGTTCAAGTTGAGACCTACAAAAAATCACTATGATGCCAATTTGATATAGCTCAAAAAACCAAAGTGAAATTGAAAGCAAATGAAATAAGGCATCTATCCCACTACATCAAGCCCTTATCCCACTACGTGGGATTGGCTACATGAATCATTTTTCACCATTGTGTACTGTTAAGAGCCAAATTCTTATTTAAAGCTAATAAAGAAATATCATTTCTAATATTTTCTAACAAAGTCTTTTTAGGTCTATCTCTACCTTTCTTAAGATAAGCCAAATCTAATACATCTACTCTCCTAACCCGGTCATCGAAAGGTCGTTGTTTTATGTGACCAAACTATCTAAGGCAACTCTCTCTAATCTTATCTTCAACTGGAGATACTCCAACCATTTCACGAATATGCTCATTTAGTATCCTTTCTCTAAGAGTAAAGTCACTCATCCACCTGATCATTCTCATCTCTGACACTTAACTTAATATTATGCTTCTCTTTTAATGGCCAACATTATGCACCATAAAGTATTGCAGGTCTCACCACCATTTAATAGAATTTTCCTTAAGTTTGAAGGGGACTTTTCTATCATACAACAAGCCCGAATAATTCCTCCACTTTAACCATCCAACAAAAATAGGAAAATAAGTAACAGCTTGTGTTTGAACACAAGTAACAGCTCTTGTATACATCTCCTTAATGACTTGAATATAAGCATTATTAACCTATTTATTTTCTAGAATTTTCCCTATCACTTCTCTTGGAATTTTATTATATGCTTTCTCTAAATCAATAAATATCATATGTAGATCCTCCTTATTCTCTTTATACTTCTCCATCAAACATCTCAATAAATTTATAGCTTCCATAGTAAACCAACCCCGCATGAATCCAATTTGATTTTGAGAAACATTAGTATTACAATGTAACCTATGCTCCATAACTCTCTCCCGTGATTTTAAGACATTTAACTATTATGAAAAAAAATTATATGAGAAAAGTGAAAATTCACTTATGTAAAACTAAAGGGGCTCGGCTCACCCGAAGCACTTGAGGTTTATTTGACATCACTTTTTGTTTCTGATTTTGCTTTTAAAAAAAAATCAAATAAAACATGTTTGGTCAAGGTTTTGTGATAGTTTTCTTTCTTTCAAAAATAAATCAAGTTGTTTTTTAAAAATACCCAAAATAACTTTTAGGTCTTTATATTATTTTCTATTCGAACTCATGAATCATGCAAGTAGTTCCACACCCAAGCTGATAAAATCTCTATTTGGGCCACTAGCCCTTATGGTCATAGCGTCACAACCTTCTTTAAAACCACAATGTAAATCGACTTATATGATATTTAGTAAAAACAAAAGTAAAATGCAACATATACTTAAGATCCTTTTTTTTTTTCATATCAAACCATAAACAAAATTTAAAAATAAAATAAAAACAAGAATGAAAATAAAGAGTGATCCCAAATAGCCCCTCAAGAAATTATTTATTTGAAAGACTCACTCACTCATACAAGATATATCTGTTACTCTCTCTTCCTTAAACTCTATTTTTAAAGTATTTTCATGTCTGTCTTTTATAATATGAAATGTTAACTTTTTGGCCACTTAAATCATGATGAATAACAAGTATAGTTAAATGAGGAAGCTGAAAAGCAGTAAGTGATAAGTGTTGGTTAATTTTTCATGCAATAAAAATTGGAAGGGATCCATGATTATTGTTTCCTTCACTCTGAAATTATAAGAAGAAACTAAAAAAGAGATATATGGTGTTGTGTTCTTGGAGTTTTGTTGAAATAGGCCTCTTATACTCTTCTCATTGGCTCTCAATTAAAAATTTTGATCCAAATTTTTTTGAGATATCAACACCTCTCTTGTTAATATTAGAAAATGGATTTGATATATTCAGGTAAATTCACTTAATTTACACTTCATCTTTTGATAGTGGAGTCAACGTGTCTCCTTGTCACGAGGATGTAGTTCATCCTTGATTGAACCACACAAACTTGGTGTTCTCTAACTGTAATATACTTTACTTATTCCCTATACTTTTTTTTGGAGCTATTATGTAACTGATTTTTGGTAGATCGAACCTCTCATGTGCTACCAAAGCAGGTAATTTGGGGCTTTGTCATAATATAGTATATAGATACTATCAAGAAGCACTTGATGAAAAGTGAAAAAAGTTTACGGTTTTGCAGTATAAAATTAGGCGTTATTGAAAACACAAGTTAAAGAGAAATGATGGCAATATAAAGAATTCTCAAGTGCGAGAGAGATTGTAAAGATACAAGTAAAATAATAGTAATGTATTGAAAGTGAAATAAGAGTTGAACTCCTAAAAAAACCAATAGTGACTCCCTCATTGATTTAAATTTTTGGGTTAATGGATGTCTATCCAAAAATATTTGAGCTTAACACGAGCCCTTAGGATTTTAACCTCCTAACGATCACTAATTAAAAATCATGTGTAATTTATGAGGTTTGGGTGTATAGTTATGGCAACCAAAAGACGTAAAATTTATTATTACTAAAGTTGGTATGCTCCTTGTATAGCCAACACTAAAGATTACTTAAATGAACATATTCCATGGATTGGTTGTTCATCTAAAATATGCTTCAGAATGTTTTAATTAATAAGAATCAAACAAAACGAAGGCGATAATAATCATAAGGGAATTCAGATGTGTAAAAGAAATGGACTGCATACCATGGCAAACCGTTCAAGAAGCTCTATTCCTTCCTCCTCGGCGTCTATCTGCAATTTGACAACCTCCTGCATCCTTGAATCAATATAATCACAGTCCAGCTCCGTCTCTCTCAATGTGTTCAGCAGTCTATCCTTCTCCTTCTCTGCTGCTGAAAGAGATTCGCTGACTTTCTCTGCCATTTCAAAATCCTCGGCCTCGCAGGCCACCTCGAGCTGCTTCTCTAAGTCTTTATATATCATTGAGGCCTGGTTGAAATCCTTCCCAGCCTTTCTTCGCTTCCTCTCCAGTTCCTTCCTCTCGGAGTAGGCCAAAGTTGCCATCTCTCGAATCCCCTCGAGCTTTGTGGATATCCTAGACCTGATAAGATTCAATTTATCCTCTATTAATTCCAAGGTGTCCTTTTCGGAAGCCTTCGCAGTGGAAGAAAATGCATCAGCGTCGCCTTCAGAATCACCAAGCTGTGAAGGTGATAATTCATCACCATCACTCGCAGCTTTTACAGATACTACCGTTTCTGCTACTGCCAGATCTTCGTGTACGGATCCATCCAGCAATTCTTTGTGACAGCTAGAAGTCGATAGAGTGGACTCGGAACTAGAAGTACGAATGACATTGTCAGTTGGATGAGGAGGATCAATGACGGAAACCACCGGCGTTGAGTCAATTGCTTCGCGGCCATAACCGATGCGGAAGCCCCGCTTCTTCTTGCGGGAGATAAGGCGTGATGGAGCGGCCGGCGAAGGGAAGGGGGCAGGGGAAGAGATTGCAGGAAGGAGATATTTAGGTTCGATGGGTATTTGGAGGGAGAGATCGGAGAAGATATCTTCATCGAGGGGTCGAGATTTGGATTGGGGCAAAGTCGACGGCGCAGTTGGCGGGGAAGGAGAGGGAGGACGCACCGGATCATGATATTGAGATGGTGGGGCCGATTCTTTTTCTAGAGGTAAGGACGACGGGAGAAGATCGGAAGGGGAGAAAAGGACCATACCTTCGAATAGCGAGCCATCCAATTCGTTGCCGCTTACACCGACCTCCGAAGCCATGGAGATCGGTGGGCCTGAGCGAGGTGGATGAGGAAGCAGCCTGAGCCGGCGGAGAACGCAACAACACGGCGGCAAAGCGGATGACAAAAAAATACAATTGCGAAGAGGTGGATTGCTTGATCCTTGCTTTGATCCACATTACAATACAATAAGGATACCATGCCAAAAAATATAAAATAAAATAAATTTTGCTGGTTATATTGTAAAAGTGAGTAAAAAAATTGTAATTAAAATTAAATTTTTATATCTATGAAAAACTTAGGTTTTATTGTATTAATATAAATCATAACAAGGGTATATCAAAGATGTGGGAAAAAAATTAATGAAAAGAATCTGAAAATAAATAACTAAATGAAAAGGAAACAAATAAAAGTATTATATAGCTTGGAAAATATTGGATCAAATCCTGCTGTTGAAGAATCTGCTCTAATGGTGATGGGCATTAGATAATTCATGTTATGTTAGAGAAGTAAGCACCTCAGTATGAAAATTTTTTCTGTGGAAGACACGGCACCCAGATTATCAGCACCACGGTATATAGAAAAAAAAAAAATTTGGGTGTGCCTTGCAACACCAAGAAGCGCGGTCGAGGCGCCGAGTCTCGGGTTAGAATATTCTAGGAGAATATGGCAGCGTAGCGGCGCTGAAAAGGTAAGTACCGCGACATTAGGTCAGATTAGTGATTTCAAATATTAAAAATATCTAAATCCATTTCAAAATCCAATTTTTTATCCATATGCTTTGCTAAAATATACTGATAAAGATGTAGAATCAAGCAATTTAATGCATGATATCCTTATTTACACAAATTGTTAAAGGAAAATTTAAGCATCTTCCTCACTTCGAACATATACCATATGAATATGACATGTCCAAATGATTGTCTTTATGTAGGCGTAAATATATAGCAAAAATTTCCAAGCTAAGTTAGAAAGCAATTAAAATAGTTCTTTATATATCTTCTCTGAAATCCTTTTACTAAAGCGAATAATTTATTATAAGGGTATAACTAAGATGGAAATATTATCAATTGGTATTTATACATATCATATATAATATGAGAGATTAAATGATATCAATACATAGCTTCCATATGTGTCATGTTTCTCATGTATATATAACATCAAAATTCTATTGAAATTTGATCAAGAAACAAAATAACTTTCACGAGGTACTTATTCACAATGGTTTCTTTCTTTCAAAGTTTATTTATTTCTTCACGTTTCTTTTTCCTTGAATACTAAGGTTTCGTTTGGGATGATTTTCTTGATGCTTCTAAAAGCAGCTTTCTAATACAAAAATTAAAATTTTTGTACTAAAAGAAGTTTTAAAGAGCAGTAAGAAAGTCGTCCCAAATGAAACCTAATAGGCTATAATTCTAACTTTTTTTATTTTTTTGTCAACAACTCGATCAATATTTACATCAAGTTCATGTCATGTCATTCTCGAGGAACCAATATTAGTGAATTAAGTCAATTTTTGGCATATTCATGTGATTTGAAAGCTTGTTGATGGATGTCTTCCAACATTCATAATTTTTTTTTAATAAGAGAGATTTTTTTTTTTTTTTGATGATGTAATAAAACTCATGTTTGTTAAACAATATGCAACTACTATGCAAAAACTTCTCAGCCATACCTCCTTATAGATGGAGTAGATAATATAAAAGTTAAATTATGATTGCATTTGTAACACATTTATGTTATAAGAATAGCTTTTGTTTATATTGTATAAACTAATCAAGATAAAGATGAGCCTTTTCATATAAAAATGTATGTCGATCTATTTGAAAAGATGTGTATTTTGCTATAAAAAAGTGTTTCATAAGAAGAAGAAGAAGAAAAAGAAGAAGAAGAAGAATTCCCTTATGTGAGTTTGCTATATTGGTGTATCATATAATAATATTTGACCACTTTGGATACAAACTAGAATTCCTGAATGAACTTGAAAAGGATGATGAAAATGAGCATGTAACACTAAGTTCACTTTCTAGTGATCAAACCTCTCAACTCACTTGCTTCACCTAATAGCTCTATAGCTAATATTAAAATACCTTATAACTTATTTTTCTTCAAGAAACTGGGATTTGAAGGGGTCCTATCATGACAACCCAGCCCAATATGACCCATAAATAGGACATGTTATATCGTGTTATATATTGATAGCTCAAGCCCAAGCTCAAAGTTTTAAGGATTTCTCATAATTCTTTGAATTATATAGACTATAGAGCAAAAAAAAAAATATCCCTTCCAAATTAGTCCCCTTTCTCTAAATAATTTCCGCTTATATTTTGAATTCAAATTAGATCTCTTGTCCTAAATAATTTCCTTTCAATTACAATTAAAACTTTCCAAAACAATTCCCCCTTGATTCCTCCTCTCTTTTCCTAAATAATTCCTTCTTAGATTTTGAATTCAAATTAAATCTCTTGTCCTAAATAATTCCCTCTTAATTGTAATTAAAACTTTTCTAAACAATTTCCCTTTAATTAAAAACATTCATAAACAACTCCCTCTTGATTATAAAACTTCCTAATTCCTTCCCCATCAAATCGGTCGGTTCATCAATACTCTCCTCCCAAAGTATCACCTTGTCCTCAAGGTGGAAAGGCAGAAATTGCTGCTTTATTCTCTCATCGACTTACTCTTCAATTTCCTTGTCATCACAAACGGTGATAACCTGAAGAGTTTGGTTCTTACACCTGTGCCTTGGTGTATGCCTCTACTCACATTAAAACACAGCTCCTTCGCCCTCTTCTCTTGTAACTCCATTTCTGTGAGCTTCTTGAAGTTTCCCTCATGTCTCCCTCCAACAGTTGTCTCTTCGGGGTCTCCCTAAGAATAACCAGTGTCTGCTCCTTGGATTCTAAAAAGGTGATGGTCATCCTATACGAACCTCCTGAGCTGCTGCCTCCAGCTTCTCTCTCTAAGTGCCTTTGATCCTCGATTATGATATCATAGAGAACAAATGAAAAAATTCATAAGCCCTCCACATGAAGAAATAACTCAAAAGTTACATCATTACAGGAGCATTGAGCTTCCTATATTTAATATTTTTTATCAAAAAAGAAGAGAAAGATAACACCTTGATCATATTTTTAGCACTTTGTATTAAAAAAATGCCCTTCTTCCAAAATAGAAAAGTTTTCCTTATAGTCAAATGAGTTGAGGAAATGAGTGCTAGGATAAAGCCCTACAAAATGTTTATCGGTGAGGACATGTAAGAGTACCAAAATGCAAGAAAGCAAGAGGTGGATCAAAATAAAGCCAAGGGTCGGTATCACTATAGTAAGAAGACATTAAAATTTTGAATACAAATATTAAACAAAACCCTAGGAAAAAATAAATTGAAAGGCAAGTTTTTAATTCTGAAGCAATACCTATAATAGAGGAGCACACATATATGAGCATAAAATTATTTTAATTGTTGCAAACTATTTCACTTCTTCAACTATAAATTAGATTCTTAATTATGATTGATCATATCAAATGACCTGATTTGGGATTAATTATATTAGAGGTCTATCACAATGGAAATGGCCTCTTGGCAAATGATAACTTGTAAAATTATTGGGATAGATATATTTCACATGAGGACAAATAATGTAGTTCTAAGAACTTTGGGAAAGGCTTTATACATGTTTTAACATTAAAGAAGAATCTTATATCTCCAGGTTGTTTGAACTCCAATGGGTACATATATCATGTTGAATGTGGAATATCCTCAGATTTTGATGAAAGCAAAGAAGCTTGATTCACTCTACTTCCTTCGGGGTAGCGCAATAAAAGCTGTAACATCAATTTCTTCCTCAAATGAATTGACCAATAATATTAGAGTTGGGCAAAAGAGGTTTACTTTTTGGTCATGTGATCATTTCTTTAGATTTCTATGAATTATATATAGAAGAACACCGCAGAATAAATTTTTCTGCAGGAGTTCATAGGAGATGGTGAGCTTGGAGTAGTGGTTAACTTGACTTTAGTGTACTACAGAGGTTCCAAGTTTGAGTAATAAAAATAATTTCTTACAAATACAGAGGTAATGCTACATAATAACCCCTCTCTAGTCCCTCATTATTAAGAGTTCCATGGATTGGGCAAATTCTTTATTTAATAGGAGTTCAAAGGATTAAGAGTACTATGAACAACAGCAATTAGATTTGCCAAAGCCAACATAATTAGACATATAATATAGATCTAAATATATGACTGACTTTATACATCATTTTCCCTTGAGGTTTAGCATTATATTCTTAAAAGAAAAACGTGATATTTGGGACATTCATAAAATGAATTTTTGGGAGTAAGATAAAGAGATTTAGAACTAACATTGCTTTGGAATTCTTCTCTTTTAGCTTCATAGTTTTTTTTTTCAAAAAAGGGTAATGTCATGCATGACGGTGTCTTCGTTACTCCTCTATAAAGTCAACTGGCAAAAAGAATGTACATAACATTTCTAATTAGGGCAAGATAATGTTATCTAATGTTTCTATGAACAAAAATTTTAAGGAAAGGCAGCGGGGTTATCAATACTATATGATATTTAGTGAACAAATCTCCATCAACATAATTTACATTAAAGACTTTACAAATGTGGTCAGATCATCTTGCAAATTATTTTGTTCTTGGGGCTTTTTTATTGTTCTACTGATGCTCATGTTTAAGAGGTATATTAGATCCAAGAGTTAAGAGTGTATATTCCTTGGGTGTGTATTTAGAATAAAGGGACACAAATTTTGGTGTAAAATCCTAAATCATTTAGTTTTATGATTAGTAGAGACATCATCAAGTTCAATGAACCAAATACGCTTCAACGCAAAGCTATGCTTTGAGATTAAGCAAAATGGTTTAATTGATTTTTTAGATGAGATCAAAAGGTAACTATGCATTCAAGCTTTGAAAGTAAGCAAAATAAATTAATTATTGATGTAGCCAAAAAAATTGATGCAGAATTCAAAGTAGATGGAGAGGGAAATTTTATTACAGTGAAAGAAAAACTAAGATAAGTGGGGATTCACTCACCTACCATGAAATAAGGATACTTAAAAATCCTTCTATGTTCGTGTTGGACATGTGTCAGACATAAACACACCTTGACACATGTCTAACACGGTGAAAAGTATGTTTCCAAATTAGCAACAGATGCGATCGTTACACCTAGACATGGCTAGGACATATGATTATAATGAAGTGTTGTTTTTTATAAGCTTCACAAACTATATTTGTATCAATGATTGTTAAGGTTCTCCTAAAGAGTGAATTGTCGCAAGTAGTGTTGATGATTTTGATGCAAGTGTATTAGATAAATTAATGGTACATCAATGTATTCATATATTTTTATATATTTTGAAAATCATATAATCTTTTTTTTTTAATTTAGTGTGGACAATATAATGTTGATATTGACAAAATCATGCCTAATAATTAAGGTGTGATGTTGGAAACTTAGTACATTTGATAAAAATAAGGCACTTCTGATAAAATATTGAGATTTAATTGCACTTAAGCCAATATTTTTCATGGTCATTAAGCCTTTGATGCGATACATGCAATGTTATGTTTTATTTTATAATACTTTTTAATAGAAAATGTACATATTTGATGCTTTGATTAGACATTTTATATTAATAATTTATTAAAAAAATATTGTATCTGCAACATGTCATGGCTTGCCTTTAATAGTTATGCTCTGTCCTCAAGCACATATCATGTGATGTCTATGTCTCGTATTGATGTTCATGCTTAATAGTTCACCTATAGCTTTGGGGCTCACTCACGTATAAAATTCAAGTAGTCAGGCGTACATGAGGACTCACTCACCCAATGTATTTACGAAATACTCATCCAAACAAGAGGAATCTCTTACTTTCAAACTCTCAAAAGCTTACTTTCAAAAACACTCCAAGTCTAAGCCTTCTTTAACGTAGCATAGGAACACTTAGATCAAGGTTGGTAGTTGGAAAGTATAATTAAATGTGGAGTTACTAAGTGGATAATAAGAGTTGGGAATCACACCAAGTATTGAATAAATATCTCATCATGCTCCTCATAATGGAAGAACCGGCTCAAGTTTTACATTTAGTGAAGCGCCTTCTTCATCATGGTTGATTAAGACCTATGAGATCATCTTTAAAGCTGAGATCTAAAAAAACCCACTTTGATATCAATTTGATATAGCTCAAAAAAGCAAAGTGAAATTTAAAGCAAATGAAACAAGGCATTTAACTATTATGCAACAACAACAACAACAACCACCACTACGTGAGATTGGCTATATGAATTATTTTTCTCCATTGTGTCCTATTAAGAGTCAAATTCTTATTTAAATCTAATAAAGAAATATCATTTATAATATTTTCTAATCAAGTCTTTTTAGATCTATCTCTACCTTTCTTAAGATAAGCTAAATCTAATACATCTACTCTCCTAACCCGTTCATCGAAAGGCCATTGTTTTATGTGACCAAACCATCTAAGGCGACTCTCTCTAATCTTATCTTCAACTGGAGCTACTCCAACCTTTTCATGAATATGCTCATTTTGTATCTTGTCTCTAAGAGTAAATCCACTCATCCACCTGAGCATTCGCATCCCTGCAACACGTAACTTAAAATTATGCTTCTCTTTTAATGGCCAACATTCTGCACCATAAAGCATTGCAGGTCTCGCCACCATTTAATAGAATTTTTTCTTAAGTTTGAAGGGGACTTTTCTATCATACAATAAACCTGAATAATTCCTCCACTTTAACCATCCAACAAAAATAGGAAAATACTTGGTCAAACCACCTTGTATTTGAACACAAGTAATAGCTCCTGTATGCATATCATTAATGACTTGAATATAAGCATTATTAACCCATTTCTTTTCTAGAATTTTCCATAGCACTTCTCTTGGAATTTTATCATATGCTTTCTCTAAATCAATAAAAATCATATGTAAATCCTCCTTATTCTCTTTATACTTCTCCATCAAATCTCTCAATAAATGTATAGCTTCCATAGTAGACCTACCCCGCATGAATCCAATTTGATTTTGAGAAACATTAGTATCACAATGTAACCTATGCTCCAGAACTCTCTCACATAATTTTAAGGCATTTAATTATTATGAAAAAAAAAATTATATGAGAAAAGTCAAAATTCACTTATTTAAAACTAAAGGGGCTCAGCTCAACCAAAGCACTCAAGGCTTATTTGACGTAACTTTTTTGTTTCTGATTTTGCTTGAAAAAAAAAATCAAACAAAACATGTTTGGTCAAGGTTTTGTGATAGTTTTCTTTCTTTCAAAAATAAAACAAGTTCTTTTTTAAAAATACCCAAACTAACTTTTAGGTCTTTATATTATTTTCTATTCGAACTCATGAGTCATGCAAGCAGTTCCACACCCAAGCTGATAAAATATCTATTTGGTCCACTAGCCCTTATGGTCATAGCGTCACTGCCCTCTTCCAAACCACAATGTAAATCGACTTATACGATATTTAGTAAAAACAAAAATAAAAGGGAAACATATACTTAAGATCCTATTTTTTTCATATCAAACCATAAACAAAATTTAAAAATAAAATAAAAACAAGAATGAAAATAAAGAGTGATCCTAAATGGCCCCTCAATAAATTATTTATTTGAAAGACTCACTAACTCATACAAGATATATCTGTTACTCTCTCTTCCTTAAACTCTATTTTTAAAGTAGTTCCATGTCTGTGTCTTTTATAACATGAAATGTGAACTTTTTAGCCACTTAAATCATGTAGTTGGTGGCAAGTAATTGATGAATAAAATGTATAGTTAAATGAGGAAGCTGAAAAGCAGTAAGTGATAAGTGTTGGTTAATTTTTCATGCAATAAAAATTGGAAGGGATCCATGATTATTGTTTCCTTCACTCTGAAATTATAAGAAGAAACTAAAAAAGAGATATATATTGTTGTGTTCTTGGAGTTTTGTTGAAATAGGCCTCTTATACTCTTCTCATTGACTCTCAATTAAGAAATTTTGATACAAATTTTTTTGAGATATCAACACCTCTCTTTTTAATAATTAGAAAATCGATTTGATATATTCAGGCAAATTCACTTAATTTACACTTCATCTTTTGATAGTGAAGTCAACGTGCCTCCTTGTCACGAGGATGTAGTTCATTCTTGATTTAACCACATAAACTTGTTGTCTAAAGTTGATATGCTCCTTGTAAAGCCAACACTAAAGATTTCTTAAATGAACATATTCCTTGGATTGCTTGTTCATCCAAAATATGCTTCAGAATGTTTTAATTAATAAGAATCAAACTAAACGAAGGCAATAATAATCATAAGGGAATTCAGATGTGTAAAAGAAATGGACTGGCATACCATGGCAAACCGTTCAAGAAGCTCTATTCCCTCCTCCTCAGCGACTATCTGCAATTTGACAACCTCCTGCATCCTTGAATCAATATAATCACAGTCCAGCTCCGTCTCTCTCAATGTGTTCAGCAGCCTATCCTTCTCCTTCTCTGCTGCTGCAAGAGATTCGCTGACTTTCTCGGCCATTTCAAAATCCTCGGCCTCGCAGGCCGCCTCGAGCTGCTTCTCTATGTCTTTATATATCATTGAGGCCTGGTTGAAATCCTTCCCAGCATTTCTTCGCTTCCTCTCCAGCTCCTTCCGCTCGGAGTACGCCAAAGTTGCCATCTCTCGAATCCCCTCGAGCTTTGTGGATATCCTAGACCTGAGAAGATTCAATTTATCCTCTATTAATTCCAAGGTGTCCTTTTCGGAAGCCTTCGCAGTGGAAGAAAATGCCTCAGCGTCGCCTTCAGAATCACCAAGCTGTGAAGGTGATAATTCATCACCATCACTCGCAGCTTTTACAGATACTACCGTTTCTGCTACTGCCAGATCTTCGTGTACGGATCCATCCAGCAATTCTTTGTGACAGCTAGAAGTCGATAGAGTGGACTCGGAACTAGAAGTACGAATGACATTGTCAGTTGGATGAGGAGGATCAATGACGGAAACCACCGGCGTTGAGTCAATTGCTTCGCGGCCATAACCGATGCGGAAGCCCCGCTTCTTCTTGCGGGAGATAAGGCGTGATGGAGCGACCGGCGAAGGCAAGGGGGCAGGGGAAGAGATTGCAGGAAGGAGATATTTAGGTTCGATGGGTATTTGGAGGGAGAGATCGGAGAAGATATCTTCATCGAGGGGTCGAGATTTGGATTGGGGCAAAGTCGACGGCGCAGTTGGCGGGGAAGGAGAGGGAGGACGCACCGGATCATGATATTGAGATGGTGGGGCCGATTCTTTTTCTAGAGGTAAGGACGACGGGAGAAGATCGGAAGGGGAGAAAAGGACCATACCTTCGAATAGCGAGCCATCCAATTCGTCGCCACTTACACCGACCTCCGAAGCCATGGAGATAGGTGGGCCTGAGCGAGGTGGATGAGGAAGCAGCCTGAGCCGGCGGAGAACGCAACAACACGGCGGCAAAGCGGATGACAAAAAAATACAATTGCGAAGAGGTGGATTGCTTGATCCTTGCTTTGATCCACATTACAATACAATAAGGATACCATGCCAAAAAATATAAAATAAAATAAATTTTGCTGGTTATATTGTAAAAGTGAGTAAAAAAATTGTAATTAAAATTAAATTTTTATATCTATGAAAAACTTAGGTTTTATTGTATTAATATAAATCATAACAAGGGTATATCAAAGATGTGGGAAAAAAATTAATGAAAAGAATCTGAAAATAAATAACTAAATGAAAAGGAAACAAATAAAAGTATTATATAGCTTGGAAAATATTGGATCAAATCATGCTGTTGAAGAATCTGCTCTAATGGTGATGACCCACTAATTACTTTTGAAGAATGGGCATTAGATAATTCATGTTATGTTAGAGAAGTAAGAACTCTAAGTATGAAAAATTATTCTGTGGGCGACGCGGCACCCAGGTTGTCAGCACCGCGGTATATAGGAAAAAAAAGGAATTTTGGGTAAGCCTTGCAACACCAAGAAGCGCAGTCAAGGCGCCGAGTCTCAGGTTAGAATATTCTAGGAGAATATGGAAGATTTTCTAGGAGCGTAGCAGCGTAGCGGCGTTGGGAAGGTGAGTACCGCAACACTAGGTCAGATTAGTGATTTCAAATATTAAAAATATCTAAATCCATTTCAAAATCCAATTTTTTATCCATAAGCTTTGCTAAAATATACTGATAAAGGTGTAGAATCAAGCAATTTAATGCATGATATCCTTATTTACACAAATTGTTAAAGGAAAATTTAAGCATCTTCCTCACTTCGAACATATACCATATGAATATGACATGTCCAAATGATTGAATTTATGCATGCATAAATATATAGCAAAAAATCCCAAGCTAAGTTAGAAAGCAATTAAAATAGTTCTTTATATATCTTCTCTGAAATCCTTTTACTAAAGCGAATAATTTATTATAAGGGTATAACTAAGATGGAAATATTATCAATTGGTATTTATACATATCATATATAGTATGAGAGATTAAATGATATCAATACATAGCTTCCATATATGTCATGTTTCTCATGTATATATAACATCAAAATTCTATTGAAATTTGATCAAAAAACAAAATAACTTTCACTAGGTACTTATTCACAATGGTTTCTTTCCTTCAAAGTTTATTTATTTCTTCACATTTCTTTTTCCTTGAATACTAAGGTTTCATTTTGGATGGCTTTCTTGCTGCTTCTTAAAGCAGCTTTCTAATACAAAAATTAAAATTTTTGTACTGAAAGATGTTTTAAAGAGCAGTAAGAAAGTCGTCTCAAACGAAGCCTAATAGGCTATAATTCTAACTTTTTTTATTTTTTTGTCAACAACTCGATCATTATTTACATCAAGTTCATGCCATGTCATTCTCGAGGAACCAATATTAGTGAATTGAGTCAATTTTTGGCATCTTCGTGTAATTTGAAAGCTTGTTGATGGATGTCTTCCAACATCCATTTTTTTTTTTTTAATAAGAGATAAATTGTTTTTTGATGATGTAATAAAACTCATATTTGTTAAACAATATGCAAGAACTTTTCAGCCATACCTCCTTATAGATGGAGTAGATAATATAAAAGTTAAATTATGATTGCATTTGTAAAACATTTATGTTATAAGAATAGCTTTTGTTTATATTGTATAAACTAATCAAGATAAAGATGAGCCTTTTCATATAAAAATGTATGTCGATCTATTTGAAAAGATGTGTATTTTGCTATAAAAAAGTGTTTCATAAGAAGAAGAAGAAGAAGAAGAAGAAGAAGAATTCCCTTATGTGAGTTTGCTATATTGGTGTATCATATAATAATATTTGACCACTTTGGATACAAACTAGAATTCCTGAATGAACTTGAAAAGGATGATGAAAATGAGCATGTAACACTAAGTTCACTTTCTAGTGATCAAACCTCTCAACTCACTTGCTTCACCTAATAGCTCTATTGCTAATATTAAAATACCTTATAACTTGTTTTCCTTCAAGAAATTGGGATTTGAAGGGGCCCTATTATCACAACCCAGCCTAATATGACCCATAAATAGGACATGTTATATTGCGTTATATATTGATAGCCCAAGCCCAAGCTCAAAGTTTTAAGGATTTCTCAGAATTCTTTGAATTATATAGACTATAGAGGTTTTAATTAACTTTAGGTAAATATAAAAATAAACAAATCTACAATTTTTTTTAATCATCAAAATACATTTACAACTACATCTATACTACATAATAGGTGTCAACCAATGCAACTCAGTAGGTCACACCCATCGATCTTAATTTTTAATAATAATTCATTATATAATTAGCTGAATTTGTAGTTATTAATGATTCAATGTGCTGAGTAGATTAATGCTTGCAAGTATAAAAAATTTAAACAATAATGTATGGAAAGTAAGTATAAACAATTACTCTATATATTGGAGCAAAAAATAATAGATTTTCCTCATGACCTTATACCTCCCATCATAAACATATATCAGAATTAAGGTTTTTTATGAATTTTTATGCTAGCATATCAAAAAATAAGCTCTTATAAATCTAAATGCTTAACATATATCAGATATTCAAAATTCAGGCCCTTATGACTCCCCATACATCCCGCACAACAAAACTTCCTTCAACATCAAAGATATAAGGAACCAAACATTAAAAAAAAAAACACACACACACACATATATATATATATATATATATATATATATATATCAGTGCATTGTAGTAAATGAAATGGAAAGAGACTAATTTAGATATTCACATATTGCTTTACTGATAGGTAACATATTCAACTATTGAGTAAAATTTCACAGTTTCAGAGTTGCACTGAATTATCAGGGGTAGTTCAAGATATTGTGTTGAAGCTTTAATTATACTATAACATTATTTTCTAATATCAAAATAAAAATATAATTATATAAAAATAGCACAGTTTTCAATTTACCAAGCAATTTTTTTTTAGAAAAATACCTAAATGCACATAATATATAATCATATATATAACATACAAAATGTTACATCGTGAAAATTTTGTGAATGTAAAGTTATCCTCCATCACTAACCTCTTGAGATCAGGATCCATTGCAAGTGTGTCGAAGGTCGCAGGGTGGTCGAGGTTCACTCCATTCCACATATCCATTGTCATGCCATGATAAATGTTCTCATAATTACCAGTATAAATTTTGATTGGCTTCTCTTCTAATAATCCATATTTTAATCTAGTTAAATAAATTTTTTAGGAATCATTATAAGTACAAATCACAAATCATCTTCACCATAACACATATATTATAGTTTTTAACTACACTAAATTTTTTTTGTAATTTTTTATCATTAGTATAAATTCTTAAGAAATTAACACAACTCAATACAGTGTTAGTTTTGAGAATGTTAGATGTTTATTTTGCAAACTAATTTCACCATAATTTTTTTAAATAAAATGACTTATTTAATGAATATATTTCTATAATTTTTAAAGCCCTAAAATTTTATATAAATTTTATATTAAAATTTGATTAAATTATATAATTATTTTATTATAAAAATATCTTAAACCACTAAAGCCATTATAATATCTTTTCTCTTCTAATTTTGGCTAATAGAGAGCCTATTAAGGGAATTATAGAGAAAAAGAAACTTATGATTTGAAAGTTGTAGAGCAAATTTTCGTCCATTGACCTTATTGAGAGATTTGCTCATCTTATTGTAAAAAATCATTATCCTATTTTAGATTTAATTAGTAATTTGGTATTTTGTATTTCCATTACTTAAAAAGAGGATAATTTTATATGGGTAAAAGTTTTACTACATAGCTTTTTATATGTTAGAGATATTGATATTATGAACGTTTTGTGTATTTATTTGAGATTTTTTATCAGATAATTTTTAAAAAATAGTAATTTTTATCAATTCAGAAATTTATTTGACGTCTAAAAATAGTGTCTTTGTCCAGTTAAAGCTTCATCATGTTATATAAGATTTTTGTCAATTTGATTAATTTCTAAAAATATGAATTTTTAATCAATAGGATTTTTTGTTACCTGCTAACAGAATATTTTGATAATTTTTGAATTAAGCTCAATTTTTATTTATTTATTATATTGCATTAGAAATAAATGTGGACATGTGATTGATTAATAGCCTATTAGATATTTTTTTTTTTTATATCCTTTCAGTGTTGAATGACTCAATCAAAGCTGCCTAAAATAAATGGGACAATTAGGATGTGAGTAATTCTAACAGGCAATTACATGCACATAATTTGAGAAAAGCCTATATATTTAAGTGTTTTATTATAATAGCCTACGTCCATTATAAAATTACAGGAGGATTTCACCATGAAGGAAAAATAAATATAGAAAGTCCACATCTTCACCAAGTAAGAGGGAACAAAGGGGAAATAAAGAAAAAAAAATTCAAAATTGAGGTCTGTAATTTATTTGAGAAACCACGAAAGCAAAAAAAAAGAAAAATAAAAAATTTAAACAAACCATATATTAATGCCAAACAAAAGTTACAAGACCAAATAAAAAAACCCCAGGGAACAAAGAAAAAACAAATACATGGGAAATCCGATCCCGAGGGCTCAGTAAAATGCCGAGACTACCAGCTACCCAAAAGCCAAGCTCAGACCGTCCAATTTGGAGCAGAAACAACACAATCAAGCAAAGGATCCCCTCCAAAGGTTGCCATGAGCCAATCCAATAGAGAAGCGAGCTCCAGCCACATCATAGCCCAGCCAATATGAAATAGAAATCAGATAGCACCAAAAACCACGCACGATGTAAGAGAAACTGTCAACCATAAGGACTCCAACGTCACCAAAAAATATCCATCCACCCACACACATCATCTTTCACGTCTGTCCCTTCCACGATAAGCAACAGACACAACCGGAGTGTCCCGCAGCATATCAAAAGAATTTCCTGGATCATCATCCCCAACATAAGAGGAGACATAATCAGAGTCAGAAAACCCATGACAGAAATCAAGATGCACACGAAGGTTCAACCCAGA